GGGGGTGAGGAAAGAGGACGGGGTGGGTTGAGGCCCAGGGCCGGGGACGCCGTCGGGAGGGGAGGGAAGAACTGGCCCAAGGTCATTCTGTACATCTCCGGCTCGGGAGGATGAGAACCCGGATCGGCAAAAGTCCGCGACACCAAGCGAAGACCCCCCAGCCTCGCTCCAGAGACGCCCAGACCGCGGACTTTATCCTGCCTGTGTCATGGACGCCTGTTGCCCCCCCCCAAAGCCCTCGACAGCATCGGAGGAGAGGAACCCCCGTCTCCCTCTTCTCCCTCCCCTCCTTTCCTCCTCACCTCCGGAAGGGCTGCGCTCCGTCCGTCCGCCCCCAGCAGGCACAATCTTCCGGAGGGGCGGCTGATAAGTGGAGGGCCCCCTCTTGAGCTTCTTGGCCGGCAGCAGGAGAGGAACCCCCGTCTCCCTCTTCTCCCTCCCCTCCTTTCCGCCTCACCTCCGGAGGGGCTGCGCTCCGTCCGGCCGCCCCCAGCAGGGACAATCTTCCGGAGGGGCGGCTGGTAGGTGGAAGGCCCCCTCTTGAGCTTCTTGGCCGGCAGCTGGGCCTCGATCTTGAGCCCCTTCAGGGCCTCGGTGGAGAGGTTGCGCTTGAGGACGGCCGCCTTCTTATACCCGTCGTAGAGGCCGAAGGCGATGTCCCGGTTGGTGGTCGTCCAGGAGGCGCGCAGGTCCACGAGGTGGAGCTGGTGGGTGTGGAAGGCCCCGTCGCCCTCGCGCACGGACAGCTCCTAGGGGAGGAAGGGGGGAGGCCCGCGCAGGACACGCACCCCGGGGAAGGAAAGTAAGTTCACGGAACCGAAACGGTTCACAGCGCAATCTTGGCCTCTCTAAGCGCGGCTGAGACAGACCCGAAACACACACACCCCTTTCTGAAATCTACTGTAAATCATATTCTTTTTGATTACATTGCAAGAAACCTTAAAATCTTTAGAGGGGATCTGGTTAAGGGACCCCGGATCAAATAAGCTCTTTCCAGGAGCTCACTTAGGGGCTCCTTGTCGGGAGACCTCCCTCCCTCCGCTGGCGCCTCACCTCCTCGGCCGTGCGGAGGCTGTGGCGCTGGTAGGTGAGGGAGGAGAGGCTGAGCAGGTGGGTCTTCTTGACCAGGGCGTCCAGGCGGGGGTCAGCGGCGTTCTCGTCGCCGGTGGAGGCCATGAGGTGGACGGTCACCAGGCTGAGGTCGCTGACCATCTGGGTGATGCTCCACTCCGAGATGAGGCGCCGCATCACCGTGCCCGCTGCGGCCGCAGAGGAGGAAAGCGAGCAGGTGAGAGGGAGGAGGGAGGGAGGGAGGGGGAGGCTCATCCGGGGAAGGGGTCTGTCGAAAAAGGCCCTTTAAAAGCCCCCCCACACAACTCTGGAGGGGCTCAGCCTGAGTCGGTGCTTCTCCTTTCCTTTCGGCCCCGGCTGCTTACCCTGGGGGATCAGGCGCTGCGTGCCCCGGGTGAAAACATGCCCTTGGCCACACTCTAGCTGAATCCCACGTTGCTGAGCAAAGGAGGCCCAATAGTGTACCTGGAGGAGGAGAACAGGGTGGGGCACAGGTGAGAGAGAGAGAGAGAGACAGGGAGGGGGAAATTCAGCTTTCAGGGCCTGGCCCTCCCCCTCCCACCTGGAGCTTGGGGAAGAGGGCCGTGAAGGAGAGCTGCCGGTAATGCTGGCCCAGCTTCTTCTTGACGGGCTTCAGGTTGCCGAACAGCTTCCCGCGGCAGATGGGGCGAGTAACGCTGGTCCAGGTGGCCCAGAAGTTCTGCATCCAGCGCAGGGTGCTGCTGTAGAGGAGGATGCGAGGTTGGGATGGTTCTGCGGGGGCGTGGGGGGGGGGAAGAGAGAGAGAACGGAGAGACGATGAAGCCAGAGATCGACCTAGGAGGGGAAAAGGGAGTCCAAACAGTTAGGGGAGAGCCTGGCTCCCCACTGGGGGACAGATGGAAAGCAGGCCGGCCGCTCCGGAGTGCTGTAGCACAGCAGCGCTGTAGCGCATTAGCTAGTCATGAAAGTGCTTAGAGGAAGCGCCGCAAAACCATTGGCTTGCACCAGGAGGCAAGGCGGAGATGGGCTTTGTTCTCCCAGGTAGCTGTGCCACATAAACCAGGCAATGGGAAGCTCAGAATAGAAAAGCATCAACAGTCAGGACACAGTCCAGAAAACCCCACAAGAAGCAAGGTCCCACAAGAGCAACGAGGTTCACAACCCAATGACCCCCCGATACACCACCAGGTAGCCAAACATTTGCAACCGAGTGGCATACTTGGGTCTCCTCCTGTGGATCTTCATAACAGCCCTGTTAGGTAGGACAGAAGCATGACTGGCCCCTCCCAAGGCCACCCAGTGAAGTTTCATGGCTCGGGAGGGACTGAAACCCTTTCATGGGACCCCCCCCTCCTCGAAGAATCGGACCTTCACCTCAATCCGGCAGTCCCGGAATCCAGCGTGGCCTTCCTCCCGTCCCAAAGTGGAGGCTGCTTGACCACGGGGGCAGAAGAAAGACACCCACCCGGCGCTGGCGAGCACACACACCCCTCCCGGCGCCCGTGGTCCTCACCCCCACTCGGCCACGTCAAGTCCATGCGGATGGAGAGGTTGATGTTCTCGGAGCGGAAGGCCCGGTAGGAGTCGTACTGCTGGCCCACCGGCACCTCGGGCAGGAACTGCGGGGCCCGCAGGACCACGCCGTGGTGGTCGTGGGGGTTCCCGTGGCAGAGCCAGGTCAGGTCCAGGGTCATGCAGAGCTGGGGCAAGTGGAGGAAGCAACAGTCGTCATACCTGCCGGGAAGACAAGAGAAAGGAACGCTCAGGGGTGGGGGCGGAAAGCCCTACCCCACCCCCACCCCACGGGCTGCACCCCGAAGGAGGAGGAGGAGGAGGAGAAGGGCCCACCCCGGACTTCCAAACGTCTACGCCGGCGAGGTGTCGCTCCCCGTCCTTAAACGGGCGCTCACTTGGATGCCGTCCGGACGTTGACGTCCAGGTCCCCCTTGAAGACAAACTGGCCGGGCCGCCAGTGGAAGTCGAGGCGGCTCCACTCCCAGTGCAGGTTCTCCGTCGTGTTGTACGGATCCTGCGGGGGGGGGGAACCCCAGGGGTGAGAAAGAGGCCGGGGGGTGACCTCCCACCCGCCCGCACCCCTCATATCCCAAGCAAGGCGGCGCTCCCGCGGCCTCACCTCGGTGGCCACCTGGTGGAGGTTGGCCTGCTCGATGGCCATGTGCCAGCTGCCGTGGAGGAGCAGCCGGCTCTTGTCCCACCACGGCAGGGGCGGGCTGGGGTCCTCCGAGGGCTTGGTCAGGAGGTCGACGGCCTGGCCGATCAGGGTCCAGGCGGGGTCCCAGCACGGCCCCCAGACGATGGTGTACTGGTAGACCTCGGCTGCGTCGGAGGGAAAGAGGGGCCAGGCTGAGCTGTGCCACCCCAGAAGAGGGACAGACTACGACTCCCAGAATCCACTCCTCCTGCTGGGGATGCATCACACCCCCTCCCCCCCCCCAAAATTAAATCCCCCAAGCTCCAGTCGGTCACATCCGGTTATCTTTTTCAGCCAGGAGCCCATAAGCTGAGAAAGCCGCCACGCAAGACAGGAGCGCAAGGAGAGCCACACACATTCCCCAGCGGGGTTTCCCAGCAGCAACTGGGGTTCCGGGGTAGACTGCCACCAGAGCTGAAGGCTCTTGCACGGTCAGCCTCACCGATAGGACCACGGCCACCTATTGATTTTAAAACTGCCTTTTAACTGCAATTCCCGCAGGCCAGCCTGCCCAGTCCCATTTTGTTCCCGGCGGTGAAGCTGCCGGGGTAAAGGGCAGCGTCCTCAGTGCAGCATTCGAACCCAGCACCGCCTTCAGGCAGAGACCACTCACAGTGGAAGTCATGGTAGAATTTCAGAGGCAGCAGGTTCCTCTCCACGGCCGCGTCCCCCCAGGGCGCCCCGAGTCTCAGCACCTGCCGCCGCCGCGCG